TCTCCATTGTTGCACACGATTCCAACTGAACAGGTAAGTTCATGAACTTGTATCTCTCTATCCAGGCATTGTTAGGTTTAGATTTGTGAAGAAATTATGTCACATTCATAGCCCTGAACATGCCCATGTAATTAGTTTTCATTTATGTTATGTGTGCTATAAGAATTTGATGTCTGAACATGGAACAAAAACTAGGTCAGGAATTGGGGGAGAAGAAATTCTCTCTCATTTCTGAGAGTTAGATTGATTTCTTTATATGTATAGAATAGTGGCTTCAAGCTCTACAGGTTTCATGTTGCAAGATTTGGAAAAAGATCAAGGAATCTGGAGATAGAAAACGCGCGTGGATGGTGGTTCAAACATGTTCTGAGGTTGAAGACAAAGTCTTCTTGGGCTGGGCCTGAGTTGACTTCCTATTTGCACCTTGTTTTTACTTTTGAACCCCCCTGGCCCATTTTGAGTTTCATTTGCTATTTTTAATTTTTTCCTTTTGATTCTGATTTATTATTTTTCATTAAAGCATAAAAATATTAAAAAAACATTTTTCCACATTTTTTTGCATTTTATTTGATATTTACTTGTTTTAGTTAGTTATATACATAAATAAATACATAATGTTTTTTTGTTTAGAATATTAGGAATAATACCAAATACATTTATTTTCTAATTTTTATTTTATTTTATCTTCTGAAATATTTTATATAAAATATACTTTTTAAATATTATTATTTTGTACATATTCAATATATTTGGTAAATAATACAAATACATACATATATATTAGTATATTTAGGTTAAAAAATACAAAATATATACATTTTTATTTTTATTAATATTTAACATTAAAAATACCTTTTTGACAAATATACTTCTCTTTTATTTATTTTTTGTACATAACTAATAAATATTGTACATATTAAATAATTAATACCTTTTATTTAATAAATTAGGGTTTTGCCCTAAACATGAAAAATACCCAAAAATTAATACTTTTATTTTTGTTTCCTTGACACATAAAAAACACTTTTTACATACACATAAAAAATCATTTTTTGCATCTTGCATATTTATCTTATTTTATTTAATTATTGCACATTAAATAATTTGTATAATTCCATTTGGATTGTAATAGTTTAGGATTTAATTCTTGTCAAAGTACCCCCATTTGAACATTTGTACCCCCCTTCCCATATATTGTGTTGTAATAACTTAGGAACTTTATTTTTCGCACTTTAAAGTTTTCTAAATATGCCATGATAGAATTAGGGTTTGTATGTCAATCAATTAACCAAAAATAGTTTGACCTAAATTCAAGATAAACAAGCATGAAAATGGACAACACTAATCACACTTGCACCCCTAGGGTATTCCACTTGTTGCCTTCAATAATGAGCCATGTTGCATGTTAGGTCTCTTTGGGCAAAACAAAACAATCCAATGATCATAGTCCCTCATTGACGCTTTCGAAAGTTGCCTAAAAATGATCAAGTCCCTTAAAGGAAAATTGCCCAAAGATACTTGACACCATTGCAATCATGGTCTAAACGATGACCCGCGCCCGTCCCGTTAACATCCTAACACAAGATTGTCCATCAAATACAATGGTGGAACAAAATTGTTAAAAGGGTTAAAACATAGCAAAAAATCTTTGAGAACTTTAGGGTAGATAGCTCTTGAGTACTTGTCAACTTGCAAAACAAAAACACTTGCCTATTTTTCAAACCACACATCACTACACTTTCAAAACAACTTTCAAAAACCTTGAAACATCTTTTCAAAAAGACAAACACCTTTTGTAAAACATTCGAGTAAATAATTGTTACAAGGGTAGCCTAGACAAGGCATCTTTTTCAAAATATTTTCAAAACCACGCACAAAGCACCATTTCAAACAATTGAAAATCAAGGCAAGTTGATCTAAGCAAGTAACTAAGAGCCCATGGATAACCATGGATAGAAAGGGTGCTAATACCTTCCCTTTCTATAATCTACTCCCCGAACCCAAGAAAACATCTCAAAGGTTTTTGCTGTGCTTTTTTAACCTTTCCTTAGGATAAAATAAAAAGTCGGTGGCGACTCTTGCTCAACCGAAACATTTGCGAAAACAAACGCAAAACCCTAGTCAGTTCTCCCACCGTATCACATGGACGTTTTCTATGAACAAAATTCAAACCTCTTATTTCTTGTGTTTTTTCTACCTTCAAGTCATACAGGGGATGTAGTCGATCTTCCTTCTGGAAAACACCCTATTGGATGCAAGTGGATTTACAAGGTAAAATATCTAGCAGATGGTTCTATTTAGAGACATAAATCTAGGTTGATTGCTAAAGGGTATATATACACAATTAAAAGGTGTAGATTAATTTAATACTTTTTCCTCAGTAGCCAAGCTTACTATTACAAGGATTCTTCTTTCCATTAGCAGCTATCAAAGGTTGGCATTTGGAATAACTCGATGTTAATAATGTCTTCCTTTATACGGATCTCCATGAAGAAATGTATATGACCCTTCCACCCGGTTTACATTCATCTAATCCTTCTCAAGTGTGTAAACTGCATAAGTACTTATATGGCTTGAAACAAGCCAGTAGGCAATGGTATTCAAAGCTTTCTTATTTCTCATTTTCATTGGGTATAGACAATCTCAGGCTGATCATTCATTATATATAAAAATGTCCAATACTGACTTTACTGCTTTACTAGTATATGTGGATGATATTGTTTTAGCAGGCACCTCCTTATCAGAGATCAAACAAGTAAAGAATTTATTGCATTAAACTTTCAAAATCAAGGATCTTGATCAACTAAGATTCTTTCTTGGATTTGAAATTGTTAGGACCACAAATGGAATTTTCCTTAACCAGGGAAAATATTGTTTAGAGCTTCTTGAAGACAGTGGTTTACTAGCCTCTAAGCCTTCCTCAATCCCTTTTGATCCTAATGTCAAACTCTCCATTCATGAAGGTCAACCCTTGGAGGATCCTTTCAGCTATAGAAGGTTAATTGGCAGATTAATATACCTCACCAACTCTAGGCCATATATCTTCTATGATGTGCAACATCTCAATCAATATGCTTCTACTCCCCTCCTACCCCACTATTAGTCTGCTATTCATGTACTTGGGTACCTCAAATATGTGCCTGCTAAAGGAATTTACTTCCCTGCCTCTAGCCAATTGAAAATCTCTGCTTTTGCTGATTCTGATTGGGCCAGATGCCCATACACCTGCAAATCTATTATAGAATACTGCATCCTTCTAGGGTATTCTCTTTTGTGTTGGAAATCTAAGAAGCAAAATATCATCTCCAGGTCTTCTACAGAAGCAGAGTATCTCGCTTTGGCTTCACTAACTTGTGAGCTTCAATGGTTGTAGTACCTTCTGCATGATTTTCATATAAACATTCCACAACCTGCATCAGTCTTTTGTGATAGCAAGTCTGCCATTTACTTAGCCCACAATCCAACATTTCATGAACGAAGCAAGCATATAGAACTAGACTGTCATGTCATTCGTGAAAAGATTCAATCTAAACTTATTCATTTGCTACCTATTTTCACTTCTGCTCAATTAACATACATGTTCACTAAGCCTCTCCATCTTCCCACTCTATCTATCATCCTGGACAAGTTGGGACTCTGTAGTATATATAGTCCAACTTGAGGGGAGATATTAGCATATAGTATTAGCATAAAGTCTTAATTAGATAGCTTTCGTCTATCAGATAGTTGCCACTTGTATAGTTTTTATTGGTTCAGAGTTATCTTGTATATAAGCAATATTGTACACTCATTTGTAATCTTATCTGAATAATACAACTACTTCTTTTACTACAACTACTTCTTTTACTGTTGCATTCTATTTCGTTTCCGGTGTAACAGATTTCTAGTATGCTTGTATGCTTCAACATCAATAGTTGATAAGCTAATTAAAGTGTTTGATAAAATTAGCAGTTCAATTAGTTGATAAATTAAAATGACATAAAAGATCTTTAATATATAATTGTTTTATTTTAAATTAAAATAAATTATATTTAGATAAAATAATAAAGATAAAAATGAAAGAAAAAAATTAAAAATTAAAAATTATAAACTAAAATATTATTTAAAATATATCTAAAAAAATAAATTATAAATTAATAAATTAATGAAAAGACTATTACTAAATAGGTCTTTTATTATCCAATAAAACTATAAACGAAAAAAATGTTTTGTCAAAAAGAGCAGTAGCATATTAATTATTTTCCTTCAAATAATTAAAAGGTCAAGGACTTTATTTAATCGGACATGGTGCTTATGCAATGATTAATATCGTATCTGATTGTGTGGATTTTCTTGCCGTGCCACACAATAACTATTTTTTATTAGTTCTAAAAAACAACTAATTAAATAATTAAATCAATCAATTATTAGCATAAACTAATTATGAAAAATAAAAATGAGCATAAACCATAGAAGAAGAAAAGGAGAAGGAAAAGGAAGAGGGTAAATGTGGTTCCCAGAAACCATTTCAATGTTCTTCACATTTCCCTCTCTTCCATTTCCCCCTTTTTTTCTTTCTTCATAAACCCAACCACACGAATTCATATATCATCATCATCATCATCACATTCTTCAAATCAAACCAATTTTTTTAATTCTCATTTTTTCTATCTCAAAAATGTTTAATTGTTTTTAGCAATTCCTCAATTTTACACCATCTTTATGCATAATATATTGGTACTTTTTTGTGTGTGTTTATTATCTTTTATATGATCAAATTCTAGTGCTGCATTTTTGAATTTCACGCTAAGTCTGATTACTTTCATATTTTGATATTTGCAGGGTGGTGATTCAATTTGCAGGCTACCTGTTTGATGTTTTGCCCTTTCTTTCCCTTCTTCACGTTTAAAATCGGATTTATCTGATTGGTGTAAGAAGGGAAAGAGAGCAGAATTTGAAGGCTAACTTGGTTTTGATTTTTTGAAAATTAATCAATTTGTTGATATTTTTGATAATTCCAAATGGCTGCTATATCTGGTGTTGTTTCCCGCCAAGTTTTGCCTGTTTGTGGTTCTCTTTGTTTCTTTTGCCCTTCTTTGAGGGCTAGGTCCAGACAGCCTGTCAAGAGGTACAAGAAGCTCATTGCTGACATTTTTCCTCGTAACCAGGTTCGTATTTTCTGTTTTCCGTTTGTTTTTCTTTTCCGCCGGTTCAATATCCCTTTAGTCATTCATGTCACATTGCATATGTATAATCAATTATGCTTCTCTAACGCAAACAACTAACTTTAGATGTAAAGTAATGTCAACTTTTGACTAGAAAATCAATGTTTATATTTGAATATATTCATAATTTGTTATGCATGTGCACATCAACCATTGATTTTCTCATCAATTGTTGAGGGAGTTTACTTAACTTAATTCTCTAAAGCGAGTTAAGCTTTAGAAGAGCCGAATTCATGTAATGTAGCCAACTAGCCATGTTGAAGGAAGTAATTACATCACATGCAATAAATTTTAACTTTTTTTGTGGATTGATGTTAATTGTGGTAAGTATGTTAGTTAAGTTGAAGGCAGGTAGATATTCCTATTTACATGGTGATGCATTTGCTATTAATGCTTCCATGTAGCTAAAAAATGAAAGCTTGGTATTTTTATATATTAACTGAAAGATCCAATGTTACATGATGTTGACCTATAGGTTTATGTGACACATAAAACTAAACAAGCGATATGCATATCTTTCTTTAATTGACTTTTTTTGGTTATTTTTGTACTTGTTTGTATGTCTGTCTCGTGATTTGCTGGCTGTATTGATTTTCTTTTTATTTTGTTTACGAGGTGACACAGGAAGATGAGCCAAATGATAGGGCAATAGGAAAACTTTGTGATTATGCTGCCAAAAATCCTTTACGCATCCCAAAGGTATGGAATATTTTAACCAAAATAAGAAGCTTTTTGGTCATTAAAACTATTACATATGATCTATATATTCAACAATAGGAGAAAAATCACCTCTGAACCCTATTAGAAAAGTCTAAAATTTGTATGATGGGCAGTTTTCTAATCTATGCTGTTGTAAATATGTTTCTTATTTTGAACTCACGTGTTGTAATCATAATGTCTATTTTTTCCCACTTAAAAATTGTTCTCATCAACTGTACAATTCTCTTGGAATCAATTTTCTTTAGGTTTGACATGGTACTAATATATTTCAAATATCAAACCATTGCCTCTTTTCTTTGAATCATCATTTTTTTTAAAAGATCTTCCTGAGAAATTATGAAAGGGAGATGCTTACTATTACGAAGTAACACGAACACTTTCATTGGCTTACTTTTACACCTATCCACCCACGATAGACAAAAGTATTGTTATTTTATCTTTTAAGTAATCCTTGTATATCTTCTTGTGGTTTGTTATCAAATGTGTTCGTAACATTTAGCATTACTCTCTTGAATAATATTTTTTTTTACCCTTTCATTTGGATATGTATCATTCTTTTATTTCTCTATTCTTCTTTACAGAAATTGGATGATAACAATTTGTTTTGTTTACTTTATTATGAAACACTCAAGTTTCTAAATGCTTAATGGTTGTTTGAATGCTCACTAAGTTGTGTAATTGGTGATCAGATTGTTAATGCCCTTGAGCAAAGGTGTTACAAGGAGCTACGGAATGAGAATATTCGCTCTACAAGAATTGTCATGTGTATCTACAAGAAATTTCTGCTTTCTTGTAAAGAACAAATGTGAGTTCACATCTATCTTATTTTATGCTTGTATTAGATTGCTTTATACATGACAGTTAAAACTTCTTTGATGTTAATATTTGTTAATTATACATGATGTTCTTTTTGTGCTCTTTGGTTAACATCGTGGAATTAAGAGACTTAAAACATGTGTTGCATTTATTGTTTGTGTTTGTTGATAGGCCATTGTTTGCTAGTAGCTTACTAAGTATTATCCAAACCCTGTTGGATCAAACACGGCAGGATGAAATGAGAGTTATTGGATGTAACGTTCTTTTTGATTTTGTAAATAATCAGGTTTGTTTCACTTCTTCTGCTGCTGATACAAGTTTTGATTTAAGTGAACTAATAATAATATAAAATAACAACTGAAATTTCTCGTAATCATTCAAAATTTTGAATAGAAGAACACTTGAGTTGGATATATTTAAAATTTTACAGGTTGATGGAAGTTACCTGTTCAGCTTAGAAGGTGTTATCCCAAAGCTCTGTCAATTAGCTCAAGAAACGGGGGAGGATGAAAGGGCTAGAATTTGTCATTCAGCTGGTTTAAAAGCTCTTTCATCAATGGTATTTATTTAAATCATTCCACCATTGTCATTAACATATAGATAAGATCTTGAACAACAACAGGTTGCATATTTGTGAGGAATCAAATGAGCTTCATGATCATGCTTGTACAACAAGAGTTAGAGTTTTTTCTTTTTAATATTTTCTTTATGAAGTCTAAATACGTTTGGATTATCTTTCGGCTTATATCTGAAATTGCCCAATAAGTTTGTTATCTTTATCTATTAATAAGTTAATGTACATACATACTACAAATGCACAAATAAGGAGCTTTCATATATTTTTAGTAATGATTGTAGATGGTTAGCATGTTAGTGACCTTTCCAGATAGACAATTACTGTCACCTTAGTTGTTGTAGCTTTGTTTTGAATTTGTTTTTTATTTTTATGATTAGAATGTAGAAATTCTTCATTTTACATCTATTCTTTCTTTATATAAAAAAGCTTAGGCCATATACCATGTCATCAATTTAACTCTGTTCTAGGATAGTATCTTCAGAATTAATTCGACTAACTTTGCTCTGTAGGTTCGGTTTATGGGGGAACACTCTCACATATCAGTTGAGTTTGATAATGTAAGTAGATTATTTGCTTCTTCAATGTTATGACTACCTAGTTTTCTGATTTTTCAAATATCTGTTTATAGTAAAATTTATGCCTTTTCTTAGAGAATATATATGTAGTTATAGCAATCAATATATATGTTCAGTGCATTTTCAAAACTATGTATGACAAATCAATGTTAGAAATCTAGAGCTTCTATTGCATTCAGTGAAATTTGATAGGCTAATTTTGTAACTCCCTCTTATAAGTCAATCTCTATAAAATTTACAAAATTTCATACTATTATGTCATTCATACTATTACGAGCTTTATAAAAGTGAGGAAGTTTTATTCCAATTTGCATCATGTCTGCGATCTCTCATATCAGCTTATTATACTTTGTTTCATTCCCTGCTAGGTAAGTTTAGTGTCGCTGACTTTTACTTGCGAGTTTTATCTATTGTGAAAATTTCTACTGCTTTTTAGATTGTTTCAGCTGTCTTGGAAAACTATGAAGTTCCTAAAGAAAATTCAGCTAGTCTTGATCATGAGGAACAAGGTAGTGAGACTAAGTTGGATCAAGGCACCGCCAATGAGGGTCAAATCTCTCATTTGCTAGATGTCAAAAAGAGAAACCCATCTTGGAGTAAAGTTGTTAACGACAAAGGCGATGTAAATTTTGCAATGTAATTGCTTTTATCAGCAGAGAATCTTTGAAATGGATTGTCATCTATTTATTTCATTAACTTTCATTGTTTATGTTTCATAAACCAATGCAGGGAAGATGACGGGAAACCCTCTTTTTGGTCCGGGGTTTGCCTACATAGCATGGCCAATTTAGCTAAGGAAGGGACTACTATACGTCGTGTAATGGAATCTTTGTTCCGGTACTTCGATAGCGGCAATTTGTGGTCTATAAACCAGGGTCTTGCTTTTTCTGTGTTGAAGGACATACTATTTTTGATGGATGATTCTGGTATGCTATTTTTCCTTCTTGACAATAAACTTCTCCTTTGTCATATAATCATTATTTAATTACTCCAAATTTTTCTCTCATTTTTCTTTCATCTGGTTGTTGCAGAGAAAAACACACATGTATTGCTGTCAATGTTAATTAAGCATCTAGATCATAAAATTGTTATTAAAGAACCCAACATGCAGCTGGACATTGTTGAGGTGGTCACTTCACTAGCTCAATATGCAAAGGTCCAACCTTCTGTATCAATAATTGGTGCAGTAAGCGACATGATGAGACATTTGCGGAAGACCATACATGGTTTCCTAGATAACTCAAATATGGAGACTGACGTAATCAATTGGAATAAAGATTTCAGAAAAGTTGTGGATAAATGCCTTGTTCAGTTAGTAAATAAGGTTCGTCACTCTTCCCATAACTTCTAATCAAGTTTATGCCTAAACCTTCACAATACTTGAAGTATTTAATGGTTTGTTGGTGTTATGCTGTTTTCAAACTTAGATGAATGCTGTTATATATAATTTATAAACTATCAAAGTCATATGCTTGTGTAAGTATGAGCTGCTACTCATAAACAGGTTGGAGAAGCAGACCCAATTATTGATGTTATGGCTGTGATGTTAGAGAATATCTCAACAATTACAATGACATCCCGAACCACGATCTATGCTGTCTATCGGACGGCTCAAATTGTATCCACCTTACAAAACCTGTCTTATCAGAAAAAGGCAAGGAATGAATATCCATGCTTTAATTCTTTTCTCTTTGGTTTGTGGCTGTAAGTTTCTTAGATAAATTTGATTCTAAAAGTAACTATTTTCCTCTATAGGCATTCCCTGAGGCATTATTTCACCAACTGCTTTTGGCTATGGTCCATCCAGATCATGAGACACGAGTGGTAGCTCACCGCATTTTTTCTGTCATTCTTGTGCCAACGGCTTCCGATCCTAAAGTATTGGGTGTTCCAAGAACACTTTCGAGAGCAGTCTCTTTTTTCACTTCTTCAGCTTCTATATTTGAGAAACTAAGAATGGAGAAACGTTCTTCAAGTGTAAGATTAAGTCAGTATAACAAAGAAAATGTTGCTGGAGAGATTGAACCAGCTAGTAGCAATGTTGGCATCATAGACAGATTGAAGTCAAGCCATAGTCGGGTATATAGTGTGAATAATCCTCCTCTAAAGAATAAAATGGACGAAATTACTGCAAACAATGATAAACAAAACTTGGTGAGTCTTGCATTTGAGTATACACTACAGATATGATGTTATCATGGTTAAACTCCACTCTAACCACAGGAGGCTGTTTTTATGTTAGCTTGAATTGGATGTTCTTGTGATTAACATTACTGATGGTCTTCTTTTCACTTGAGAACAGGATGTTGTTGCGCTCAGGCTGAGTAGGCATCAGATAAACCGATTGATATCATCAATTTGGGCACAGTCTATATCTCCTGAAAATATGCCTGTAAACTATGAAGCAATTGCTCTTACATACAGCTTGGTGTTGCTTGTTTCTAGAGTTAAGGTAATAACTGGATTCATGATTATGCTATATCTTCTTGATTCCTTATATGATCTGAATATAATTTGTAAAGGTCTCTTCTCTTTGTATGGTGCTACTTTTATGTTTCCTTTTTTCATGAAAATACATGATACTTGCAATTTTTTTACGATATATTTTATGCTTGACATTTGAATATTCCAATTTTCAACTTTTCTCAACACGGAAAAATGGGGGGAAACGGGGACAAGCCAATTGTCAGGATTAGTTGTACTTGTGCAATGTAGTCAGCATTTTACAGCTTCCAAATGGTGGACAAGCCAATAGTCGCTTGGGATTTAACGGAACTTGGTTAGTTGCAGCATGTTTTGTGGATTGGTTACCAACTGGTTTGATGTAACGTTATTACTTGTATAATTTTAATACTCTACTCTATTTCCTTATAAACTATAATGGTACCATGGATTTCATTTTGTGCTTATGAATGTATTGTGGAACGCTAATGTCTGTGATGTTACTTATAGTGTTAATTTTAAGTTATTCTTGCTAAGATCTAGTATGTCTTTTTGAAACAACACTGTTGACATAAAGATAAGATTTAAACAGTTGTACATTTTCTTTTAGATAACTTTCTATAGAAATATGCTTTTCTATTTCATATATATTGTAACACAAGGAGGTATTTATAGAATATGAATTACACTAGGAAATGGGGGTAATTATTCTCCCTATAAATGCTAATCCTAAATAAGGTAAGAATAAATAATACAGTTAATTACTATTACTTACAAATTATATCCAGTGCTAATATTCAACACTCCCCCTCAAGCTGGCATGAATATATCGTTCATAGCAAGCTTGCACACCATGTTATCAAACAGTCTCTTTAGAAGACTCTTTGTGAGAACATCTGCTACTTGACTTTTGGTGGGTATGTAGGACATACAAATCTCACCGCTGTCAATTTTTTCTTTGATGAAATGCTTGTCCACTTCAACATGCTTCGTTCTGTCATGTAGGACAGGATTATGGGCAATAGAAATAGCAGCCTTATTATCGCTGTAAACTTTAATTGGAGTTGGGCCAAAAAGCTTCAATTCTTCCATGAATTTTTTGATCCATAATACTTCACAAAAACCATGGGCCACAGATCGGAATTCAGCTTCTGCACTGCTCCTGGCTACAACATTTTGTTTTTTGCTCCTCCATGTAACTAGGTTTTCACATACAAAAGTACAATATCCTGAGGTAAACCTTCTATCATTTATATTACCTGCCCAATCAGTATCTGTATAGGCTTCAATCTGTATATGCCCTCTATCTCTGAATATCAACCCCTTTCTTGGAGTACCTTTCAAATATCTTAATATTCTGAAAATAGCTTCAAAGTGGGCTGCCCCTGGTGCATGCATAAATTGGCTTATTACACTCACTGCAAAGACTATATTTGGCCTTGTATGTGACAGATAAATTAGTCTTCCAGCCAATCGTTGATAGCGTTCTCTATCTACTATTTCATCTTCAGCAACTGACTTTAGTTTCACATTGGGATCCATTGGTGTTTCTACTGCTTTACACCCTGTCATCCCTGTTTCTGCGAGTAAATTGAGTATATACTTGCGCTGGTTGAGAAAAATTCCTTCTTTAGATCTTGCGAACTCCATCCCAAGAAAGTATTTTAACTTCCAAGATCCTTGATATCGAACTCAACTTTAAGTCTTCTCTTCAGATCACTAATTGCTTTGACGTCATCTCCTGTAATAATAATGTCATCAATATACACTATTAAGATAGCAATCTTACCTTCACATGAGTGTTTAAAGAACATAGTGTGATCTGCTTGACTTTCGGTGAAGCCATGTCTCTTAACAACACTTCCAAATCTCTCAAACCAGACCCTTGGATTGTTTCAATCCATATAAGGATTTTCTCAATCTGCAGACTTTGTTTCTTCCAAGATTTTTTTCAAATCCAGGAGGTAAACTCATATATACTTCTTCATGTAATTCACCATTTAAGAAGGCATTTTTAACATCATATTGATATAGTGTCCAGTTGAAATTTACCGCAAGAGAAAGAAGGATTCTGATAGAGTTGATCTTAGCAATCGGGGCAAAAGTCTCTTGGTAATCAATACCATGAGTTTGAGTAAATCCTTTTGCTACTAATCTCGCTTTGTATCTTTCCACACTTCCATCAGCCTTGCATTTCACTGTAAAGACCCACTTACACCATACTTCCTTTTTATCTTGTGGTACATCAGTGATACTCCAAGTACTATTTTTGTTTAGAGCATCCATCTCTTCTTTCAACGCTAATTTTCAATTCGGATCACTTAATGCTTCCTGAATAGTTCTGGGCGCAAACAAATTAGAAATCCTAGACACATATGCCTTGTGGGTGTGTGATAGTTTGTCATATGGCAAGTAATTAGACATAGGATGTTTAGTGCACATACGAAAACCTTTCCTCTCAGCAATTGGGATATTGAGGTCAGGAATATTTTTTCTCACAGAAATGGGAAGATTAATATCAAGAAAAGACAAATCAGATAAATCATTGGACGAGTAAGAAGGATTACCAGATAAAGAACTAGAAGGCAGATTATCTGTAGGACCTTCACTTGGTAAATCAGATTGGATTTCTACTAGAGAGACAATAGGGTTTGCACCACCTTTGTAGAATTTTTTTCGAACATACACTTTAAGTTTAGAATTATCATCCTTAATCAGTGTTTCTTCCCCTGTTTCAGATTCTATTATCTTAGCACTTGGGTGATTTGTAGTCACAATATCATCTAGAGCAGGCAAAGTTTCCCAAAAATTATCTTCTTTATTATTACATTGACTCCTCCCCCTGAAGAGAATTTTAAAAAAAGGTTGATTTTCAACAAAGTGAACATCCATGCTTTCAAAAAATTTCTTTGTAATTGGGTTAAAACATTTGTACCCCTTTTTATTGGAAGCATAGTCAAGAAAAACACATTTTTCGGCTTTAGGATCCAACTTAGAACGAAAAACATTGGGGATGTAAACATAACAGAGACAACCAAAAACTTTAAGGGGAAGATCCGTAATAATACAAGATGTAGGAAAATTGTTTTGTAACACTTGTACAGGACTTTCATATTGTAAAACTCGAGATGGCATTCAATTGATGAGGTGACAAGCAGTTAATAAAGCATTTCTCCAAAGATATTTTAGCTACATTCATAGAAAACATAATAGCGCTAGTAACTTCGAGGAGATGTCTATTTTTTCTTTCAGAAATACCATTTTGTTGTGGAGTATCGCGACAAGTGGATTGATGAATTGTCCCCTTAGTTACAAGGAATGTCCTTAAATATTTGTTGAAATATTCAGTGCCATTGTCAGACCTTAGAATGCCAATCTTGGTTTGAAATTGATTGATAATCATGTTAAAAAAAATCTTGAAATCTTTGTTCAACTTCTGATTTTTTCTCCATGAGATAAACCCAACACAGCCGTGTATGATCATCAATAAATGTCACAAACCATTTTTTTCCAGACATAGTTTTAATTTATGAAGGACCCCAAACATCACTGTGAATTAAATAAAAAGGTTTGGAAGCAGAATAGGCTTTTGATTTAAAAGACACACAATGATCTTTAGCTAAGTGACAAGCTTCACAATGAAATTGTGAGGAATTTATTTCTTTGGAAAAAGCAGGAAACAAATGCTTAAGATATGAAAAACTAGTGGCCTAATCTTTTATGCCATAACATAACTTGATTTGAAACAGGAGATGAGCTCGTACTGTTTGAACCAAAAAATGTTGTATTGCCAAACTGAATTCCATCAAGGTAGTACAGTCCATTCATCTCTCTAGCAGTTCCAATCGCCTTTCCCGAGTTCTGGTCCTGAAAAACACAAGTAGAGGGACGAAAAAGAACAGAACAATTAGTGTCCTTAGACAATTTATGAAGAGATAGAAGATTACAAGCGAATTTAGGAACATGTAAAACTGATTGCAAAGTGATTTGCTCTGAAATTTTTATGCTGCCTTTGTCTGCAATACTTGAATAACTACCATCAGCTATCCTAACTTTTTCAATACTTGAACTAGGAAAATAGGAACTGAATAGATGAGAGCAGGGTTAGAGTGGTTGTGGGCAGATAGTGCCCAAGAATCCTTACCTGTTTGTGCCACAGTTCCAGTAGGAATATTAAGAGATGAATTGAACTTTAGAAACTTAAGATGGTTATCCATTTGCTCCTTCGTACATGGAGACGAATCAGCCTCATTGGCCATAGGCATAGGACGGTCACCAAACTTACCAGCCTTGCCATGGTTTGGTCGTCCATGTAGTTTGTAGCAAGTCTCTCGAGTGTGGCGATTGCGCCCACAGTAGTCGCAAAATAAATGAGTCTTGTCTCCACCTCGTTGATTAGGAAGTGGTTTACATAGCTTTTGTATTTTTGCCAAGCATTACTTGCCGACGACTCTCTTCGCGACGTGCTTTTGAAGAGACTTCACCAACTGGAGGGATAGGATTTCTGCCTAGAGTTTGAGAGTTAATTCGTAGATCTGGGATTGATTTTCCAAATCAGAGTACATTTGGGAGACACCTTCCCAAGTTCTTTTGCAGTATCATAACAGATAATTTGCACCTATCTCTTTGTCCATGGAGTTGACTAACCATGTCATAACCATGGAGTTTTCAGCATCCCATATATCATAATCTGCACCTGCCTTGTCTGGTTGTTTTTTGTCGTTTTTTGTCGCCAGTGATGTAGCCAATCTTTCCTCTCCCATTGAGATACATATTGCGACCATCGAAGATAATTAGCACCGTTCAGCCGAATTGTTGTGATCTGAACAGGGTGGTTTTCATGTAGTCAATCTTTCCTCTCCCCCTGAGATACATACGAACGGATTGCGACCATCAAAGATAATTAGCACCGTTCAGCCGAATTGTTGTGATTTGAACTAATTGAGGTGTTTCAGGTTTGGGTGAGGAATGTTTGGGTGATAGTGAGGACTCAGTGTCAGACATTATGTGGGATGGAGAAAAAAAACAGGACAAACAGAGCGGAAGCAAAAACAAAACCCCATAGAATTCTTGTTGCTCTGATACCATATAGAAATATGCTTTTCTATTTCATATATATATATATATATATATATATATATATATATATATATATATATATATATATATATATATATATATATATATATTGTAACACAGTACATAGGAGGTATTTATAGAATATAAATTACACTAGGAAATAGGGATAATTATTCTCCATATAAATGCTAAGAATAAATAATACAGTTAATTACTATTAATTACAAATTATATCCAGCCATAATGTGCTAATATTCAACACTTTCCAAATTTTTTGTCATTGCAGGGTTCTTTTCATGAGTTAATAGTTCGGAGTTTTCAGCTTGCATTTTCTCTATGGAATATTTCTCTTAAAGAAGGTGAGCTTTCAGTTATGATATACTTAAATTAGATTGTCCTTTGCACTGAATCTAGTTTGATAGGTAGGCACTATTGAAGTGATGTGATTTTTTACGGTTCTTTTATTGGTAGGAAATAAATTTTTCAGCTTAAAAATTAGGTTTAGACTAAAAGATATTTTGTTAATGAAATCTATAAATGCCGATTTTGAGCCACAATAATCTAGATAGTAGCCGCCCCGCCATGTTTGCCACTGCAGCTTCTATTGCTCTTGACATGGACTGTGGAGGACAAGTGATTTGCAAGGAAGAAATGGTTTTTGAGGAAGACAGTTAGGGCCATTAGTAAAAAAGTGAAAATATGCAAATGCTCCTTAGGTTATCTTGAGTATGTCCTTTGTGATTAGAGGATTTCTTGGTAAATTTATGAAGAGGGACTTTTGATGAATTACACATTGTTTCCCAAGCAGGTCTTGCAAAATAAACTACCATTTCAAAAATATTCTATATATCCATTTTAATAGACACCAGATACATAGATTTCTATTAGGAATGGATTTGAAACAAATACCAAGATAGTACAAACTTACTGCTTACTGTAATGTTGGCATGTCAATCCTTTCAGCTCTTATTTTCTACTGTTTTGTAGGGCCATTGCCACCATCTCGCCGGAGATCACTTTATACTTTGGCAGTTTCAATGATTATGTTTTCTTCAAAATCATACAACATTGCCCCTATTGTCCAAAGTACCAAGGCAGTGCTTACAGAGAGAAAGGTAAGACATTTATGTAATTTCCTGCATGTTATGCCTCTTAGTAAGCCAATAATGGAGGTCTTAAAACCATAATTCAATGTTGATTTATAGGGATAATATAAAGAAAATATATATTTGTTAACAACACGTTTAATAAGGCACTGGTTAACCAAAAAAAGTGCAAAAAAGCAACAAATGAAGGACCACAATGATCCTGGATTCTTGTTTAGGGGATTATTGGAAATAAAGCAACTTATAACCTCTTAGTTTTTACATTCTGGAATCAGGTTGACCCCTTCCTTCATTTGGTTGAAGACAAATTGCAGGCTGTCAGCTTTGCACCTGACAATCTGACCATCAGCTATGGATCCAAAGAAGATGATGAAAGGGCCACACACACACTTTTGGAATTATTTTCTTCTGTACACCAAATGCAGGAATGCTTTGCATCTGAAATCATCAGAAGCTTGGACATTTTTTCAAAAGTAAAGATCTTGCCTCTTGTATATAATACGCCTTCGATTGTCACGGGGTAAAATATATTCACACTTCTCAACGTTTGAACCTTTGGTATTTTGTGCAGGCTGAATTACTGTCAATAAGAGAGAAGCTGCTAGAAGAATTCTCACCAGATGATACGTGTAAGATTGGAACTCAGTTGACCACAAATATTCCAAGAAAGGTGTGTCATGTGGATTTCTAAATGATCGATGTTGTTCCAAAACTATTAACTTTGTGACCGATGTTTGTCCTTTTCACATTTTCAGGATAGTTCGATAGTTGATGATGATTTTATTTATGAACTATTTGAAAGTCAATTAAAACAAACTCCAAGATTGTCCACGGAGGTCCCTGATCTTTTGAGTGCTAATCAACTTTTAGAATTAGTATGTGACACATTTCTAGCCCTCATACATATTTGTGTTCATTGGATTGCATTATAAGCTCTTCTCTTATCAATGACATGAAATTTGGCACCACACTTTTGAGCGCAGGTTCTCGACCCATCTCATCCTGCTGGGAGAATTTCTGTGACTGCATTTGATACGCCTTACAAGGATATGGCTGATAACTGCGAAGTACTTATGATGGGAAAGCACAATGTGTCTAGATTGATGAGTACCGCCAATCAGACACAAGAAATTTCAGCGAACTCCACTTTACCTACTCACGACAATGAATTGAAAAACACGGATTCATCTTCCCATGAGGATCCGTTGAAGGTACTTCCTTGCTTTTGTATCCATATATATATATATATATATATATATATATATATATATATATATATATATAACACGCCTTTTATTATGGCCAACAACTTTATAACACTTATTATTTACATATACAGCTTTAAAATGGAATATCTAATCAAATTATATATAAAATGTAGGTGGACAAGGAAGACAAGGTGGACAATTTTTTCTTTGATGATAATACTTTTGTGGAATTGTACCAACCAACTTCTACCCCTGCTCCATTGTTCTGTGGAGCAGATTATCAAAACCAGCCTCATTTTTTCCAACTGCCAACAGCAAGTCCCTTTGATAACTTTCTGAAAGCCGCCGGTTGTTGATACTGGAGATGTATCGAATTACAAATTCTATCAGGTAGTTAAGAATTCATAATGAGGAAATCAGTAAGGCTTCTAAGCACTGTAATTTCACTGGTGCCAAGGTCAAGCTATATCATATATCTGAAAATATTATAAGGCTGCTGTTTTGATCATAACGGGCTGTGTTTTTGAATTTTTTCGATATTCAATTCTTTATTATGTTTTCACCTAACCTTGTATATTGGTCTATAAAGGCTTCATGCTATGCTTTCATTGTAAATTATAATATTCTTTTGACATTCTATTTCCATATACGGAAACTGTAGGTTTAATAGATCTAGAAAAAATTTACACGGTGCTCCACTGTGAAATGCTCATCTTTCATTCAGTATTAATTTAAAGTCACATTATTTAAATCGTTATACACTTACTTTTCACCACCATTGATAATATCAATACTGATTCATATATCATCAACACATAATTTCACATGTTACAGTTTATCAAGATTAAATAATTAAACTATATAACATTCAATTCACCAAGTATAAGTCCTCAAACGACATTTAAGATGAACGATTTCACCAAAATATAAAAAATAGTGAAAATTTAAAAATTGAACTACATTATTTGAATCAAGGACAAAGTGAAATTTTAAAAATTCCACGCGTTATTATCGATAATAACATTAACCAACAATAATTCAACAATTAAAGTAGTCCTAGTTATTGTAATATAATTTAAGTTGTATAGTTTAAGTTTTATTTTGGAGTTAGAGTTTGTTATTTAGTATATAAGTACTACTAGTAAAGGATATGTGTGTTTGTAGTAAAGGATATGTGTGTTTGCAGGGATCGCGTAATGTCATTTTTTTTTGTGTGAAGTCGTTAAATTTTTTGATTTCTAAGTTTATATGTGGAATTTAGGAGTTAAGAAATATAATGATTTGTTTCTGTGTATTTTACTGGTGTAATCAATTGACCTGTCTTATGAGAAAAATAAATTGTGAGTAAAAAAGTATAAGTAGGTCTCTCTCTCTCTCTCTCTATATATATATATATATATATATATATATATATATATATATATATATATATATATATATATATATATATATATATATATATATTATCTTTCGGTGTTAGTATGATAGACCCGTGCAAACGCATTGATAGAATAATATGAATAATAATAATAAATAAATAAAAATATTTTAAAAAAAAGACAAACAATATAGTAAGAGAAGGGGAGGGATAATTTCTTCCCCGTCGATCGTCACAGTCTCCTTGAGGAGAGGGGCTCCTCCGTTTTTGCTTTTGCTCGGGTGAAGGCAATCAAGCGTGGTCGATTTGCCGGTTGTCTTTCCTCTTCTTGAATGAAGGGGAATCTTGATCTCTTGCAGGAGGTGTGCGGTTGCGTTTCTTGAAGAAAGAAACGTTGTGTCTCTCTTTTCTTGGTGGTGGGCCACGCCTGGGTGGTGATATACTGGGGGAGTTTCGTCGTTGGGTTCTCCGAGGAGGAGATCTTGATCGCCTATTCTCCCAGGCCCTATCCTTTGATTCTGCTGTAGGATGAGGGCGTTGGTCTGATTGATAGCAGCGAGCAGTGCTGCCATGGCCGGGTCGGTGTTGAGGGGGATGGGAACTGGTTGCATGACTTCTGGCAGTTTCTTGGTGGAATTCTTGGGACGTCCCTTGTCCAAGAATTGGTCGTCGTCGGGCTGGGCGTCAGTTGAATCTGGAGATGCAGTTTTTCTGTCTCGGAAGCCCAGGTTGTCCTCGAGGTGAGGATGTTCTGAACTCCCGTCGATTTCGTGAGCGGGGGAAAGAATAGTCTTTCCGGGCAGATGAAGATCATCATGGTCGCCCATGATTAGTGAGAGAGAACTCGAAGAAGTTGCTTTGATCTTTAGGTTTCGAGGGAAGAAAGACGGGGAGAGCAATTTCCCACAGATGGCGCCACTGATCTTGCCGGTTGATCAGAACCTGTGAAGTGGCCGGAAGATGATTTGTAGTCGGGCTGTGATGTTGAGGAGAAAAAGGGGTTTGTACCTGCAAGGTACTCCGACGATCAAGTAAGAGTGGGAACAAGGAGATACAAGCAGAGTATTATATGGTGAATAGTGAATATTTGATACCTGGCCCTCATAGGTGTGAGGGTTTATATAATGCCCCTGACGCGTGGTCATTGGTTCCTGATTTCACGCCTAGATATGTGGGTCCGTGAAATTAGGTAACTGTCAGGACTTGGTCAAATCGGACAAATGTGCCTGTAACTAGTCGTTGGTTCCGAGGAGGGGGCCAGTTACGGATATCTCTATGGTCGATTCCTGGTGGCCTGCACGACGTTGATGTCGGGCAGGCTGAGAGGATGCTCGTCGATCATCCTAGGCCAGTGCTGGCTTGGGAGGGCAAATGGTCGGTATTTCCCGATGAATAGTGTGCGGTTCGGGTCATGGATGTGTGGTCCACACCAAAGGAAAGGTCTAGACTAGGCCTATTCAAAATTGTCAGGTCAGTCCAGCATAATAGCCCCCTAAGTCGTTGCTTCTGGGTACATGAGCGATGACTTTAATACCTGCTCGTGGAACAGGGGCGTGTCTTACAGGGAAGCGAGCGTTTCCTGTTGCGCCTTTCTCGCGGGGAGATGAGGAGTTGGTCGTCAGGACCCTTGAATTTGGAGAGGTAGCGTGTTTTGGGAAGTGTGCCAGTGAAGCGGCGCAATAATGACCTAGGGGCTAGGGTGTAATGATGGCGACCCTAGGGTTTCTCAGGCATGTGTCTCGCACGCACAGACGGTTTCAGCTATAAATACGAGAGGAGCAGGGTCTTTTGTGTTTTTCGTCTTCTCTCTTAACTGCTTGTATTAGCTCGACTGTCGACCACCGCTATTTCTTGAGTTCTATCGCTCGCAGCTGCTACTTTCAGCCTTTCTTCTTCTATTAACTGGTAAGTTTTCAACTTTTCATTATCGTTCGCTTCCTGTAGTTCGTATTTTGGCCATTTATTTTCTAGAGATGCATGCATTTAGGGTTTAGGGTTCTGTTTGCAAGGACGCCGTTGGAGAGTGTTGGCGGTATATGGCATTTCTGTGGTTTAGAATCGCTGGAGCCACCGTGGGATCTCCCCAGGAACTTCGTGGTGTGCCGTAGATAGCCCATTAGGGCTTAGGGCTTTTTCTGTAACTTCTTCCCATTGTCGTGCCTCAGTGAGGGTTTTAGTCGGGGATACGATCCTCATTTCCCAGTGCCCTTTCGATTGATTAGCGGTGGAAGGGTGGTTTTGACATTGATGTCGAGCTCATCTTTTTCCTATGTTTTTCAGGTGCTATGTCTGACAATGCCCAGGTCGATCTCTCGAGCGAGTCTACACAATCCTCGAGAAGTTCTTCAGACGAGACGAGTAGCTCTTCGAGCATCCTGGAGATTTATGGGAACACGTAGAATCAGTTGGAGCAGCAAACAAGGGAAGGCGACATGGAGGTGACCTCTGCCGATCAAGGTTGCCTGTTTCCTCTTGGGGACGAGGAGGATCCTCGGGATTGGGTCGCGAACGACCTCTGGGATTAGCCTTCATACTTCTATGAGCACCGGAAGGATGTTTTTACAGATGTGTACACTCACGAGGAGGGGAACCAAGGAGAATAGTCGATGTACATCCCCGGGGAAGAGAGAAGAATCTGCTCGAAATATGATAAGAGGCAGATTCCTATGTTTGACAGTGTTTTTTGTGAGATGGGTCTTCGTCTCCCCTTCTCTGATTTTGAGGTGGTTGTATTCAGACACTTGCGCGTGGCTCCCTCCTAACTGCATCTGAACGACATCGCGTTCATGCGAGCGTTCGAAATAATTTGCGACCACTTGAAGATGGGGGGAATTATTCCCTTGTTCTTATACTGCTTCCACCTTCCGAGGAGCAAGGTCGACGGAAAATGGGGATGGGTTTCTCTGAAGCAAGGAAACGAGAAGCTGTTTAAAGCTTATTTGGAGTCCGTCCGCCACTTCAAAGATAAATATATTTTGGTGCAGCCTTCTTCGAGCAACGCAATATCGAACGTCTTTAGGACCATGCCGACGCTAAACGAGGATGGTACTCCCCATCTGAATGAGCTAGGAGAGCCTGTTACAAAGCTGGTTTACAAGTTCCCATTCCAATGGACGAGAAAGCATTTTGATAGTGAATTGGGATCCTATGTTTGAAGGGAGGGGGATCTCGTAGACGAGGACCTGGAGAGCCTCATCGTCCTGATCGTGTTTGTGGCTCAGATCCCTCGGGACCAGCGAGTCGTCTGGGGAGGCAGGCCTGTGATTGACAAGAACGAGAAGTCTGTGTACGAGTCGAGCCTCATAAATGTCAAAGAGATCCTCAGAAGCGAGGACCCCATTAAATATTTGAGCATATATATATATATATATATATATATATATATATATATATATATATATATATATATATATATATATATATATATATATATATATATGCTTCTATCAGTAGTAAATGGTCGTCATTTATTTGGCTCCTCGTTTACTGACTATGTTTCTTTTTTGTTTGTTTGCAGATAACATGAATCTTGTTCAGGAGCGTTTGGCCAAGACTCTTGCTGGTAGAGCGAGGAGGGATCAAAGGGATATGCAGATTGGCTCAGGGCCCACTCCTGCCTCGGGGTCGGGTGACTCATCCTCTGCCCCAGCTACAGTCGCTCTTTCTTCTGTCGTTGTTTCCTCGAAAGGGAAGAGAACGCGTCCCGAGGGGAGCGCCGACCTAACCGGGGAAAAGGGGAAGGGGACGTACGAATTGCCCCCCCTGCTGGATGGAGAAGTCTTTCTTTAAGGGTGCATCTCTCTGTCTTCACCGGGCCGAATCCCTTCACCTCGAGGGAATGAACCGTCCGGAGAAGAGGGCGATGCTGGTGGTCTGATGCGGATCTGGAGATGGCGATCGCCTACACTGAGGGAAGTTCTTCATAGGAGACAAAGCTGAAGAACCTTCGGGCCAAGCTGGCTGCGAGTGAGAAGGCCC